AAAATGTCGATCAAGAACGAATAGAGGAAAGACCGCCTAACGAAAAAGAAATAAAAGAAATAATAGAGAAACTAAAGAATAATAAGAGCCCAGGAAGAGATGAAGTAACAGCTGAAATGTTTAAATATGGAGGACCAGTACTAATTAAGCATTTGGAAAAGTTGCTAAAAGACATATGGGAACAAGAAAAATTACCGAAGGAATGAACCGAAGCGACACTGTGCCCTTTTCACAAAAAAGGCGACAAAAGTTTATGCCACAATTACAGGGAAATAGCCCTACTAAATGTTGCATATAAAATACTTGCAATATATATAAAAGATAAGCTATCTCAAAATATAGATAATGACATAGGGGAATATCAATGTGGATTCAGAAGAGGGCGCAGCACATTGGATCAAATTTTCCTACTGCGCGAAATACAAGCAGAAAGCTACGAATATGGGAAACCTACAATGGCCCTATTCATCGACTTTAAACAAGCGTTCGATAGGATAAAACGCAAAGAAATATACAAAGCACTACGTGAAATGAGAATTAGTGAAAAACTGATAAGAATGGTAAAAGTGACACTACGAAGAACAGAGAATAGGGTTAAAATAAATGGCGAAGAAACAGATAAGTTTGAGGTCAGTGAGGGGGTGCGACAAGGAGACCCACTGTCATCGCTGTTGTTCAGTATCGTCCTCGAAGTTACCATCAGAGAAGCTGGAATCAACAGGTCAGGACTTATATATCAAAGAAAACACCAATGCTTAGCATTCGCTGAACAATAACAAAATAACAAAAAGATTAGAAATGAAAGCGAGAAAGAAAGCGATGTACATAAATGAAGAAAAGACCAAATATATGGAATGGACAGAAAGAGATTACCTACAAGAACAATATCTGACAGTAATAACAGATGAAAAAACATATAAATTCGAAGAAGTAGAAATATTCCAGTATTTAGGAGCGACATTCACGAGAAGACCAAATATGAAGGAAGAAATCCAAGCGAGAATTATGGCCGGTAACCGTTGTATTTTTGCACTAAACAATTTATTAAGAAGCAAAAACATATCTACAAGGGCTAAGATAAGAATATATAAGACAGTAATAAGACCTATTGTATTATATGCCAGTGAAACATGGACAATGAACAAATCCGAGCAAGTCCTGCTGCAAGTCTGGGAAAGAAAAGTCCTCAGGAAAATATTTGGAGGTAAAATATGGAATGGTATATGGATAAAAAGACCAAATATGGAATTAGAGGAGATGTATGGAGAACCGAATATCGTGGGGATCATAAAGTCACAAAGACTGAGATGGTTGGGACACATCCAAAGGATGGGAAACACGAGAGTGTTTATGATAAAAGTATTACTTATATGTATTTTTCCTTTACTTTGTGGACTTGCCGTAGTTGACAAAATGTATCAATATATAAGTTCGACCCTGTATACAACTATACCTAGAAGATTAAATCCGAAATATCTTGCAATGAACAATATCCAGTTTTATTACCTGCTTTCAGAAAAACAAAATTCAGTGTAAAGTTACTTAAGCAGAGGATATGAGCTCTCCGAGTGATTTACCATCTCTATAACTTTTAGTTTTTCCATATAGGTTACGCTACTTACCTCATTTTGAACTTTCGTCGTCTTTTCGCTAATACCTTACCTGCGTGGCAGGTAAGCACTTAATAATTTTATATATTTTGACGAAGCGTTGCTAAGAGTCTATGAACACGAATTAGATAAATAATCAAGAACTAAACTATTCCACAAGCTCTCTACTACGAATTCGCATGAACAAAATGTTGTTCCGTGAATTTGAGGCGCCCTGGTAAACTTTCAATTTATTAACGAATTTTTATTCTAAAAATGTACTTAATAAATACAACTGTTAATATTTTCCCCAAATGAACGACACAATTTCGATAAGGGGACTGTTGGATAAAAAAAGCTTGAAAAAATGTGGTACTTTTGGGTATAGGTTTGATGGAATGATGAAAAATATTACTGTCAGTATTAATGACTAAATAAATTAAAAGATGGGTTACGAAACCAATTTACAGAAAAAATTAGAGAATGTGCATGTTTATGTTCTAAGTTTTTGTTATAAAGCCTTTAAAAACTTCCAAAATATATTTTTAAACAATTTTTAGCAATTCGTAAACCTTGTACTGCAACTTTAATTTTTTTAAACTATAAACAATAATAATAGGCCTCACCTTCTGTAAATAACTGAAAAAAGTAAGAATTTGATCGATGTCAGGTAAATCTTTAAATCCGCTTAGTTTGTGCTTACGTATTGCTAATACAAAATCACTGATTACTAGAAAACATAAACCTCTTAATTCTACAATATGTTCTCAATATTTTTGTTAATTGCGCCTCATTGTATTATGTAAAATACAATGAGGCGCAATTAACACAGAAATGATTAGAGAAATAATTCAAAATGTAAAGAAAAAATTTGATGGCAACTCAAGTTGCCATCTAGAGCAAATACAGAGACATCGTCTCAGGGTCAGCAACCTCATTGAGAGTCTTAAGTTGCCATATAGTTAACGTTACACTAAATATTTAAAAAATATGTAATAAATAACACATTGGATGGATGATGGACTAGTAAGTTCAAAATCGTTCTGTTGTGATGTAGTCTGAAAGGGTGTTTTTAATAATATACCTTTTATAAATGATTTTTAAATAAAACTTTTGTAAGTTATGATGCACAGCCAATTACAGGACTTTTATTTTCCTTGTGGAAGATAATCTAAGATTACTAGCATAAGGCTCTACGGTTAGAATGGTTCAGAGCTTGGCAAAACTGGAATGACCAATGCAATTTTGCCTGCTTCAGTGATGAGGGGTAAGACGTTTTCGATGTGAGAGACGAAATATAGATTTGGCTGTTAAACGCCACAGTAAGACAACCAAGCATTATAGCATGATGGAATGCTATATGTTTGGAAAGCAGATCACCTCTAGTTCTTATTAACGGCAAATATATTTGATTATTGAAAAAAAGAGTAGCTTTTGGCTTTGTTAATTCAGCTGATTACTTAATTCAATCATCATGAAAAAAGCTATGTACTATAACGAATGTTCAAGAAACAGAAAAATGTGATCATGAAGATCATTTACCTTATGTCGATTGGTTTTAAAATGTATCAGAAAGACAAGTGAAGTTTTGAATTTTTAGTTTGAGTGTACCGAAGAAACAGAGCAAATTATGACAGATGAAGAAATATGTGAAGCAGTACAAGAATAAGAAGAAAGCCTAATACAATTATTCGAGCGACCAACTATTAAAACTGTAAAAGTAACACCAGATACACCATTTAAATGTTTTACTACCTACATGGTCCAAACATGGGCTAAAAAAGTGGCGTATCTGCTAAAGAAAGATGGACAAGATCTTCCTCCTGAAGGAAAATTTATGTTAGCAGACAGGGGTTTTGATATATCAGATCTTTTAGAGGAAAAAGAAATAAGAACATTTAAATATACCTCCATTTAAAAAAGGGGCTCAGTTAACAGAAGAAGAAATAATAAAATCAAGGGTCATTGCCAATTATAGAATCATTGTTGAAAATATTATAGGATTGGCAAAAAAAAACATAAAATACTGAAATAAAGAATTTCTTCTAAATTATTCCTATATCAATTGAATTCCTGGTGGGACAGCATTTATTTTTTATTAGTTTTACATCTTATAATATTTGTGACTTGTTACTATTTATCAACTATAATTTATTTTAAATTTGGAAAATACAAGACTTAAACAAGGTTTCATTTGCGTTATTTTATTGGTTAACTATGAGACAGAAAATAAAAAAATAGTTATTTATTGACAAAGCAAAGTAGTTACATATACATATATCTGGATAAACATTCAATTGTATTAAAATGTATATGTGAATCTGAGGAATAATATGAGGTTATGATTTAATACCAAACTTCGACGTAAACGGCCCTTACGGATATTTTGTTAACTGACTTATGGCATATGATCTATTGCGCTAAGTCTTATTTTTTAATCATGTAGAATGTAAAAAAATGAAAAAAATTGAATTCTGTGACTTTGCCTATCTTACGGGGGGCACCCTTTGCGTTATTAAGTTTGAAAGCAAAAATAAATTATAACTTCGATAAAATCATAACTTGAATATGGTTGATCTTAGAAAAAGTCTCACTATAGAGGCAAATACAAGTCTCATTATAGAGTTAGCATTTATTGGGGACACATTGAAAACGAGACCTTAAATATAGAGCAACGAGATCTTAAATATAGAGCAACAGTGACATTTAAAATTAAACTACAAACGATCAAATGATCATACTTAGGATAAACTATAAAATAATTGATATTTAAACACACTGTTTCCAGCTAATTAAACTAAATAACTAAGATCACACAGGTACTAACTAATTAAACATATGAAACAAGATCGTTTTGCGAGTTGAGATTTTTCTTGCAAAAATCTATTTATACTGTTTTAAATTTTTGAAAAATACTTTTTCCTTTCAGAAACACATTTTTTCAATTCGTTTTATTGAGGACGGTGTATTACACACCAGAAGATATGAATGCTTGTCCTTCTTAAAAGCGTAGTTTCGTTTACACTACGATATACTCGTAATTTAAGCAGTTGCTACGTAGTTAAGACACAGATTGGTGATTATTTTCTGCCACCTAAAGTAAATGGCGTTGTGTAATGTAACTATTTTGTTAAGGAGAAAGTTTGGTTAAGAATCCTGCCTTTTCTCTCAGAGCCATTCTTTTTCATGAAGAGATCATATATACACCGAAACATCGTAGTGTAAAGAAAAAAGACAGGCATTCTTAGATACTGGTGAATAATTCCAATAAATAATATGCTTAACATTATTTTACTAAGATTTGGAAATGATCTTGGGATATATATGTATCTCAAACAAAACATCATGTTGAACGAGGTGAAAATAATAAGACATGTTATTTACATGCCAACCCAATCCAAACAACTAATGGTCTGTGCAAGTTGTTATTAATGAGTTGGTTTTATGTACAATAAAATTAAGTTTAAGGTATGATGATAAAAATTCAAACAGAAATATATACATAGTGATACTTGACATATTTTACAATTCCTATTATTAAATTATCACAACTTTTGTAAACACTTAAACCTACAGAAATACTTTATTTTGTCGATTAATGGTGACGTTAAGTGCGAAATTGCACACTAGGAAATATCCTTTGATGTAGAAGGTTTTGGACTGCATGAACTACTGTCCATGGTTTCATACGTGGTGTGTTTGGAGCACGTGATGCAAATGTAGTCTTCGTCCTCTTGAATATCCCCTGCAGAAAGTCCAACACAAACCATGTGAAACCATTTGTCACAACCTCCATCACATTGCACCCAGTCTATCTTCTTTTCTTCTGCGGGCTTCTGGCAACCATTGGCAGCACATATGTCATCTTCATCGTCATCATCGTCTTCGTCTTCGCTCTCTGTAGAGGGAGAAGCAGTAGAGGACACTTTGGGTTTTCGACCTCGTTTTTTGCCCTTTCGTTTCCTGCCTGCTACTTTGGCTCTTTTTAATCTTCTAAGTCTCATTTTAGCCTCTAGGTCCGTTTTCAGAGACTTAATCACTTTCTTTGAGGTATCGACCTCTTGCTGTTTCTTTTCTGCCTCTAGTTTCAAACCCTTGCACACTTTCTTCGTAGTGACAATCTCTTGTTGTTTCTTATCTGCCTCTAGTTTTCCATTTTTGGACGGTTTCTTCGTAGTGTCAACCTCTTGCTGCTTCTTTTCTGGCTCGACTTTCACAGTCTTGGAAAGCTTTTTAGGAAGATCCATTTCTTCAGAAAGACGCCTTCGTTTTTTTTTCGGTCGCATGCTCTTTCTCACAGCCTGTAAGTTAATATGGTTTTGTTAAATTTATGTAGCAATTACATTTGTGTGGGGAAAGAGGTATAAAATATAGGTGTTTAGGTATAAAATAATTGGTTTTATACCTATTTAGAAATTAGTTTTAACAATTAGTACAAATAGCCCAGTCTGGTTAAAAAAAAGATGGAAAAATGTTTCGCAGATATCTGAAGCTTGTAAGACATAGGTGGGGTTACTAGATGACGAATACATGAAAAGATACTCCTATTTTTTCATTGCGTTTTTTTTAACAATAATTTATGGTCACAATTTGATTTTTTATCTATAAGTTTTTTCCTTTATATTTTAAATAAACAATATTTATATAATTTTTTTATATCAAGAATATCATTATTTTCCCGTTGTTTCAATTAAAATTGATAAATAATTTACGGAGATATTTGCAAAAAAGCAGTTTTTTGTACTAATTTATAAATTTTATTAATTTTTTTATTAACAAAACAAAATGTAATTAATACATTTATACATTGAGCAATTACCGTCTTTTCAATTTGTGAGAAATTTCCCCCCGATCGGTCAAATAGTTTAAAAGTTATTTAATTTGTTTATCCCTGAGGCTAATTATTTAAACTATTGAACTTGCCCTATGAATGATGCTAGACACATTTAGTAACTTTCATAGGGTTCTTAAAGACTTAAACTATCTCAAAAGTTACATGCATATTACGTTTTCATCGAAATTATTCACAATTAATTTTTTTACTAACAAAACAAAATGTAATTAATACATTTATACATCGAGGAATTACCGTCTTTTCAATTTGTGACAAATTTCCCCACGATCGGTCAAATAGTTTAAAAGTTATTTAATTTGTTTATCCCTGAGGCTAATTATTTAAACTATTGAACTTGCCTATGAATGATGCTAGACACATTTAGTTAATTTCATAGGATTCTTAAAGACTTAAACTATCTCAAAAGTTACATGCATATTACGTTTTCATCGAAATGATTCACAAAATAAACGTTTGAAAAAGGGGTATGTTTTTTTTTTACTAATAAACAATTGTAATATAATATAACTTCTATATTTTTCAAGCTACAGACTTGTATGTAGAACCATTGGATAGCTGGTAAAAAAAGTCACATTAAAATTAAAAAACCTTCCATGACCAATAGGAACAAAGTTAGCGTCTATATTTTAAAAATCACATCTTCATTGTTTATAAACATTAAGAAGTAAAATTTGCACAAATTTTAAATGACTTTATATTGAAACTTATAGCTATAAAATTCATCCAATTTTTTAAAACTTACAGCCCTTCGAAACGAAGGTACTTTCGAAAGATCGACATAGGAAAGTGGAGGGGATAACTGTTTCAGCTCCGTTTTTTTTTCGACATCGGAACTTCAAATTGAAACACGTAGGAAAAGTTTACATTATCACGGCTTTCATTACAGCTGGAAGCCTCTTTTTTATTCTGGGATAGCTTGGTCGAAATATGAATAAATACATAGTTTTCACTGGCAGGAAAATATGGGAAACCTCGGAAAAATTGAGTCCATTTGAAACTCACCGTAAAAACTTACTATTTTTTTTAATTTGATTGGAATAGTCTGTCGCAGTATTAATAATGATGACATAATTTTCACCCCCTTAAATCTCGGAAAATCCCGGAAAATCAACAGATATTTTTTTCATTGTATATCGATGATGTAATAATACTTATATATATTTTAGAAATTAAATTTCAGGTAATTTTTTACACATTATATTATTATATTCTTTATATTAATTATAATTTTTTGTATTTTTATAATTAACAATATTGATTTTTATTCTATTTTTCGTACAAATATGATATACAATATTAATCTAATCTGCATTACTGCTTTGATAAAATAAGTCCATTTTTTTGAAACTTGTCTTATTAAATTTTGCAATGTTTATTGAACTTTATTTTATTTATTTTCTTTACATAAGTTACAATTTGGTTCATTCATTCGACTTCACTGTCAGCTCTGAACCTTTTTGTTGCAGGTTATTTGGCTTCATTTATTAAGTCAGTCTATAACTATACATCTTCAGAATCACTATCGTCATCAAACGTAACTATACCGAGGTTGCAGCATATTTTCTCCTCTACTTCTTCCTCAGTACAATTCAAACCACGTTTTCTGCACCCACATCTAGTAGTTTTGCAACCTGTGGTGCATTTGCATGTAATGTGCTTTAATGTCTCTTCGGGAATTAAATTATCTAGAGTATAAATTGGTTCAAAACCAGTGGCACTTTGTCTTCAACCATAGACACCAGCATTTACAACTTATTACCTAACCTTTGTAATTGATAGTAAACCCGAAGAACATGCTGTTTGGCTGCACCTTCAGTTGGTGGCAGAGTTTCTAGTTTAAAAGAAGAATTACCGATATTTCTGCTAAACTGTAAGTATCTTAAATCATTTAAAGAAAGTGTATTGTTGTGTTTTTTTTATAAGTTATATCAACTGCAGTAGAGTATAGAACCACAATCACCTCAAAACCAATTCTCATTATATTTTCTTTAGTTGCGTTGGAATCGTAAAAAATATCCATGAAACTAAGAGTTTCTTCGTTTGCGTTGATTAATTTAAATTTCCCCTGATTATAAATAAAATATTACAAAAGATCATTTCTTTCGATTTAATGTACAATGTAATCAAAAATTTTAAAAAATTACCTCGTAAGGAGTACAAAAAGTAAAAAAATGATCTGCTCCTTTTGAATCGAAATATGTTTCAGATGTCTAAAATAAATCAAAAAAAGATTTTTTTATTATTAATGAAAAATCAGAATATTGCAAGCTTATATAGAACGAATCTTTTAAAAATATATAAAGTTATAACAAGCATAATCGTATTTCTAAAATTTCTAAAGACTTTTTATTTTATTAAGTTGAAATTTAATTATGATTATAAACAATAAAGTAAATGCAATCAAAATATTTCAAAACAAAGGTTTAACTTGCATAACAATAATTTTTTAGCAATTTATAAAACAAAAATTAGGAAAATACTTACTTTGAAACTACTACTGCTTGAACAAGTTAATGCCACAGTCTGCTGTTTATTATGAAATAATCTATAAATAATATTTCTTACCAATTATACAAGTTGAAAATAATTAATTATTTATTCCATAGTTTTAAATATTACTTACAATTTTCAATCAAAAAGTAATTAAATACGTTTAGTTAAAACTTTTTTGTTCGAAATACACAAAATATTTTACTCAAAGAAGTAGAAGTATATTGCTTTCTAAAGCCACTACACTGAGACTGACGAAATTTTGGAGTGTGGAGCTAAAACAGTTTCCCCTCCACTTTCCGATGTCATCTTTCGAAAGTACCTTCGTTTCGAAAGGCTGTAAGTTTCGAAAAATTAGATGAATTTTATAGTTATTCAATATAAAATTTAGATTTTCATTCAAAATTTGTGCAAATTTTACTTCTTAAGGCTGTTTTAGCAGTCTAAGCACACTGCAATTTAAAATGGGTGTATCACTTACTTTTCTACACTCTACCCGAAAGCCGACGGGTAGAGCTGTTTACTCAGTGGCGCCGGCCAACGGGTAGTTTAATGACAACAAATGCATTATTCTCCATTCAAATTAGTTTTGTTGGGAATATCTTTTTTGACTGATTATCGTAGATGTTTTAAAAAGAATTATCACATTTTTAATTTATATGTCTTAGCTAAATATAGTAGGTATAAATTAAAAATTTGTGAAACGTGACTGCAAAAAACATCATGGTGTTTATTTATAATAAATTTAAAATAACAAAAATATTATTATCAATAAAAAATACAATTTGTTGTCACAAACAAATAAAACATTTCGCAGTTATAGCTTGAAAATAATTTCAAATCGAACTAACTGACCGTACGTTCATGAGATTTGACGTCACGAAGACGATAACGATGTAATTTAAGTGCCAATGATGAGTAACACGTTTCACTAATTAGATTTAGATTTCAGTATTTTTTAGCAATTTTCTTCAAAGTTTGAACACGCTTTTCTCGATTACTACTGGACACAGAAAGGTGAAAAAAAAAAATCAACGATTACAGAAAAAAAAACTCTTTCAAGTGATGGGCGTAAAAAGTTTGGTTATAATAGAACGTTAAACTGTAAATAAAACCATCAGTTTAAAGGCAACATAATTTTGAATAACCTGTCCAAATTTCGAGACATTTTGTCGGTAAATAACAGAGAAAACACTGTCTCTAGGTTTTGGTGTACCGATAAAACAGCCTTAATGTTTATAAACAATGGAGATATGATTTAAAAAAAAAAATAGTCGCTAACTTCGTTCCTATTGGTCATAGAAGGTTTATTTTTTTTAATGTAAGTTTTTTCCCCAGCTATACAATGGTTGTACATACAAATCTTTAGGTTGAAAAATATAGAAGTTATTACAATTGTTTATAAGTAAAAACAAACCCCTTTTTCAAACGTTTGCTTTGTAAATAATTTTAATGAAAACGCAATATGCATTTAACTTCTGAGATAGTTTAAGTCTTAAATAATCCTATGAAATTTGCTAAATGTGTCTAGCTTTATTCATAGGGCAAGTTCAATAGTTTAAATAATTAGTCTCAGGGATAAACAAATTAAATAACTTTTAAACTGTTTTACCGATCGTGGGGAAATTTCGCATAAATTTAAAGGACGGTAATTCCTCGATGTTTTAATGTATGTATTAATAACATTTTATTTTTCATATATTTCATTAATAAAAAAAAATTATTAAAATTTATAAATTAGTGCAAAAAAACTGCTTTTTGCAAATATCTCCGTAAATTATTTATCAATTTTAATTCAAAAAACGGGAAAATGAAGATATTCTTGAAATAAAAAAATGATATAAATATTGTTTATTTAAAATATAAGGGAAAAAACTTATAGACAAAAAATCAAATTGTGACCATAAATTATTTAAAAAAAACGCAAGGTAAAAATAGGAGTATCTTTTCATTTATTCGTCATCTAGTAACCCCCACCTATCTTACAAGCTTCAGATATCTGCGGAACATTTTGCCGTGAAATCGATGATTTTTGCATAACCAGACTGGGCTAAAATAAAAGTGTTTTTAAGACATAAAATTTTTCATGTCTTTTCATATCTCTTTTGATCACTAAAAGTATATATAAATAAATGACAAAAATATGAATATACAGAAAGTATGATACATTTCCTGCATTGCTATATGATCGCATCGAATTGGCTCTTTGAGAACTTTTAACCAGACCTGCTGACTAATAGTTGTCTATCTATAGGTAAAAATTCACTTGGCTTATTGTGATGTTAGAATACCCCAACAAAATACTTAGTAAGACGCTTTGACCAGTTATTATTTGTTTTATTACTTGCTGCCTTAGTCGTTTTCCGACCTTCAGTTGGAAAAATTATATCACGCTTCCTTGGAGGTCGGACTAAAGATTAACATGAACAAGATGCAAATAATGTCTAATCTGGTGCTAAATCGGTTGATGGAAGGGAATATTGAGAAGACTTCATCGTATAAGTACTTAGGGCATTAGATTGGGCAGAGATAACGACATGTGAGCTCCCACGTCGTACAGGATTAGCCTGGCCAGCGTTTGGTAAATTAAACTATGTATTTAAATCAGACCTTCCCATATGCCCCAAAAGAAAATCTTTAACCAGTGTGTGTTACCAAAGGATCTGTCGATTGGTTGTCTAAATAGTGCTAGTGCACAATCGCTAAAGAAAGTATTTCCTAGTCTGCCACACCAGTAAGGCCCAAGCTTCCAGACTAAGGACGAGAGCGCTTGCACAGCATATGTTGCAGATGAAAATGGGAAGAGGTAGGGGCTGAGCGAATACTAAGCCGATTATGAATTAGTAATCACTAGCTCAAATCTCTACCATGGCCATTTGGGGAAACAGTCCTTCGGAGAAAGGATAGGAAAAGTTATTTGAGGAGATCAAGAGGCTTGACATGCATCCATGTTGACATATTTTGGTATATAAAGAATTAGGTATAGGAAGAGCCGTCAGAATTGGAGATGGTGTTAGTCCGCTCCAAAGGCCAGATTTCTGTGAGGATCATTCCCTTCTGGGCTTGGTTTTACAGTTTTTGGCGTGACTTCGCTGTTTCCACTACTTTTCTCCATTCTTCTCTCTTTTTGATTATCCTTCCTATATTTATAATTTCCATACTCCCTAAGTCTTCGTCCACTTGTTGTCTCAGTTTAGGTGCTACCTGGTGGTATCCATTCAGTTATAAATCTGAACGGATGGCTCTTCTCTCTTCTCATTATGTGTCCACTCCATCTAATTTTCTGTGCTTTTATTGCTCTAACTATGTTTATTTGACCTATCAATTCTTGTGTTTCGTGATTCATCCATTGTGTCATCCATCTTCTTCCGTTTTCCTCTTTGGTCTCAGTATTTTTCTCATAATTTTTCTCTCAAAAATTTTCAGTTCCTCTTCTCTTTCTTTTATTATAAATGTCTATGAAGCATAATGCCACTATTGGTCTTATGGTAGTTTTGTAGACATTTATTTCCAGTCGTCTCAGTTTGGCTTCGTTTTCTATTTCTTGGACAGTTTTCTTTAATGCCCTTTTATCTGTTGCTACCATGGCTATATCATCCGCATATCCTATTATTTGTACTGCATTTTTGTGTATAGCTCCTGCGTGTGACAGTTTTTTGTTATCTAGTAATAGAATAAATCTAGTACCGTAGAGAGCGCATCCCCTTGTCTTATTCCAGTTTTTATTTTTATTATTTCTGTTTATTTTCTTCCGGTGTTTATTGTTGCTTGGGAATCTCGTTGAATTATTTCTATCATTCTTACAATTTTAATTGGTATTTTTTCTCTCTTTGAAGTATTGGTTCATTCTTTTTCTGTTTAGTTTGTCAAATGTTTGTTTAAAATCTAGGAAAAGTATATGTGTTTCTCTGTCATACTCGTATGTTTTCTCTATCACTTGTTTTAGCGTATGGACAGCATTTATAGTGGATCTTCCTTTTCTGAAACCGTACTTATAATCTCCTATGCTTTGTTCTTTGTATATTGTTAGTCTGTGTCCAATTATCCCAAACATTATATATACGGAGCCGGGAAGTAAAATATATAATTGTCTACAGACAGACGAAGAATCTTCAACTAATACTTGGATGTGATGCTAACGAGAAATCCGAGGGAAACAGAGTGGAAAAGCTATAAAAGCATACTCGGAAACTCTTTCGGGGGTGAATAGGTATCACTAGAGACGTTAAAGGCTCGAATTGGCCGTGAAAATGATAAGTGAGACCATAACGACGTATGAACACGAAAGCTACCCAGAGAGATAAAAAAAGGAAAAGAAAAATACACCTTGGTTGAATAAACTTTTACAAAAACTTAGGACAGAGGTAAGAAAGGTATTTAATAAGGCCAAATAGAACTAAGAGTGAGATAACTACAGAGAAAAACTGAAGAAGTACAATAAAGAAATCTGTTAACCCAAAAGGAACTCGTGGAGAATTGCTTTCGTTGTAAAATTGAATTATTATCAAATGAAATAATTGCATTTGTCAATACTTATTAACTTTGTGCAACTATTAAACAGATTGTGCTTACAGCTAAAAATATGTATACATCCTATGCATAAAACCCAAGAATTGTATATGTAGCCTTATGTTATAAATGATAAAAAAGAAAAATATAACCAAATTATATTTTAATTTAACTTAAAATAAAAGAATAAAACAATTTCTACTTACTATTAAAGGTTCTTTGGGTTTATCTTTTTTCTTCTAAAATAAAAAAATAAAATAATATAACTGTTAATGAAATAATATAAAAAATAAAAACAACAAAAATGAAATCAAAATAATAACTAAATAAATTATTAAACGGTAGATTATGTGGTAAAAATATGATGAGATGATGATGAGATTTTACTAAATTTATTTTGTTTATAAGATTTTTTGAAAAATGAGCTAATTTCAGGGAGGGTCCAGATAATTTGACTGAATGTATGGCACTTATTTTCTTTATCAAGACATATACTAATAACCTATGGAAACAAAGTAAAGAAAAAATATATTTATTCCTGTTTAAACAATTTTCAATAATTCTGTTTGCTAAAAGTTTTGTTAAAAACTTTGATTTTCTTATAAAACATTGGTTAATTTCAGCTGGGATAATGTCCCAGATAAAATATATAAAGAAGGTAGCCATGATACCATTATGGCAATACAGCAGCTTATAAAAGAAATATGGACACAGAAATACCTCCCAATGATTGGAATATTGGAATACATTGCACCATATACAAAAAAGGAGATATCCTTGAATGCTCTAACTACAGAGGAATTACGCTTCTAAATGCAGCGTATAAAATATTTTCCACAGTACTATGTCACCATATGCAGAACGGATAGTAGGAAAATACCAGGCTGGTTTCAGAGGTGGTAAATCGACAATTCATGAGATTGCAACCCTGAAACAAATTTTGGAAAAAACACTGGAATATGGTATTGATACTCATCACATATTTATAGACTACAAAGCAGCCTACGAATCTGTGAATAGAAGCGAAATGTTCAAAGCAATGAAAGAGCTAGGAATACCAAATCAGTTGGTAAATTTAACAAACCTAACAAAATTGAATGTAGAGTACGAATTCAGGGGAAACTGTCTGAACCTTTTAAAACAAATAGGCTGCGCCAGTTAGACCCTCTCTCTTGTATACTGTTCAATCCGGCACTGGAAAAAGTAATACGTATGTCACTGTAATGTAAACATAGCAAGTGAGTGAAGAATAAAAAAAATAAGGGCTAAGTAGCATAGAAAAGATAATAATTATTCGAGATAATTATTATATATTCCAAATTTAATAAGGGAGAATTAATACAGAAAGTATACATTTAGGTTACACAAAGAAATTGACCTAGTTAGTGCATTGTTTGTTAATTGTTTAAACGTAGAAAAACCACGTCAAACAGAAACTATTGTTGTAAAAAATAACAACACTCGTGACCCAAATAAAGCCTAGGACTACAACTCAGCGAACACACGACCTTGGTACTAGAACCGGCGTTATAAGTACGAGCACAATAAAACTAGAAAACTTGGTCAGCCAAGTCAGTAGTCAGTAATAGCGAGTCAGTCAGTGATAGCTGGGCACCGTGACTGCCCGCTCAGGCAGTGATCGCCGACTCCGGGTCGGACGCGACAGCGTCCAGTACGCGATCAGTAATAGGCAGTCGGTATGTCTCCGGGGAGTGCTTAACACCCGACATAGTATCTCGTGTAGTCAGGTTATTGGAGGTAACTCGTAAGTTCGTAACACCGGAGGAGTCCCCTCAATTGACCGATTTCAACCACGTGTCGTGGTTGAAACTCTAAATAAACATAAGGTAACAGATTTCTATATACTAACCTGAGTAATTATAATAGTACAACTGTCAACTCTTCCATATCTTGCTTCTCGTCTCCCGACGCGCCGAATGACTTATTAACGATTATTTTACTATATCAATGAGTTGAGTTGGAATATTAAACTCTTTCAGTGCATGGATCAGAAATTCTCGATGGATGCTATCATAGGCACTCCCAAAATCAATGAAAAAATGGTGTGAGTCTATCTTAAATTTTCCAAATCTTTTCCTAGATTTGCCTCAAGACGAAGATCTGATCTATTGTGGATTTCTGTCTGCAGAAACCACATTGATATTCCCAAACTATTTGTTCCGTATATGGTCTCAATAGGTCATACACAATATTTGACAGTATTTTATATGCCACAGTTAGTACCGTTATTGCCCGGTAGTTTTTACATTGAAGCTGATCTCCCTTTTTATGTAGTGGGATAATTACTCCGGTATTCCAGTCTTGTGGCATTTGTTTATTATTCCATATGTTCAATATTAGTTCGTGTATCGCATTCAATAGGGAGTCTCCGCTTTCCTTCCTATTAATTCTGCGCTAATGTTGTCTAATCCAGGTGACTTTTGTTTTTTAGTCTCGTAACTGCTTCTTGCATTTCAGCTACTGAAGGGGGGTTGTTTCTCTGGTATCCGTTTGATCCAATATAATTCCATCGTATAGTGGATTTTCGTTTTTTTTTTCAAACTTTTCTTTGAAGACTTCTGTTCATCTTTGTAGTATTTCACTCTGTTGAGTTACTATATCTTCTTCTTTGTCTCTACACATCATTATTCTTGGTTTAAATTCTTTTCTACTTTTGTTAAGTTTTTGGTAGAATTTTCTGGTTTCTGATGGTTTATTTAGTTCTTCCATTTCTTGAAGTTCTTTTTCTATGTGTTCTCTTTTCTTTCTGCATGTATTTTCTTGTCTTCCCTCCTTAGCACTCTATATTCCTCCTCTGCCTTTCGTGTTCTATGTCGTTGTCGTAATTGTTGATATGCATTATTTTTCCTCTGTGTTATGTTCATCGAACCACTGTCCTTCAGTTGATTTGAGCTTTTTTTTGTAGACCCAGGGTCTCTTTGGTCGCGTCTTGTATGATGTTTTTATACGCTTCCCATTCTATGCTTTATCCTCGTGCTTTTGTTTGTTTTCTAGCCTTCCTTTTATACATTCTTTGTATTTTGCCTTTTTGCTGTTGTCTGCTAAGTTTTTATTTTTCAATTTTTTATTTTTATTTTTATTTTTCAATTTTTTTTATCCCTTTTCTTTTTTAATGTTTGAGATTCTGGTTCTTATTCTACTTTCAACTAGGTAGTGATTCGAGTCTGCATTTGCCCCTCGTCTGCTGCATACGTTTATTACGTCTGAGTGATGTCTAGAGTCAATAATAACATGATCGATCATGTTTACTGTAACCCCATCTGGAGATCTCCACATTCCCTTATGAATATTTTTTCGCTGGAAGCATGTGCTGGTAATGACCATGTTAAGGGAAGTTGCTAGATTTATTAGTCTGATACCATTATTATTGGATACCTCATGAAGGCTGTGCTTACCTATAGTTGGTAGGTATTGTTGCTCTTTCCCTATTTTTGCGTTGAGATCACCATAAATAATGTTCATGTCATTTGGGCATGAATGGTATGCAGCTTCTAGTTCTTCTCTTGGAATTCAGAATTACAAATTTCTAGGTACGTAAGCCAGTGTTTATAAGAGATTAGAAAATTTCTCGGAATTTTATTCATGTAAACGGATAATATGTTTACTTAATATCAAATTCTCACTAAATGGGCTTCTGTTTATTTGAAAAGAACTTCATTTTTCTTTTGTCGTTCATTTAAAAGAGAAGTCAGTGTAATAACTATTAATATGAGTGATATAGAAATTATTAGTGACGATACCCTGTACATTCCTGCCACTATTTCAGGAAGTGAAGACGAGTCTGAACCTGAAAAACGTTCTGGTTATATTCATCTCACACACGATGCAAAGCAAATCGTGCTTAACGTTTACAAAGGTTAGTACTCGTTAAAAATACTATTTAGTTAACCTTCCTAAAATCGGGTGAATTTTAAAACGACCAGTACCAGGTGTGGCGTTGTCGTCCCAGTAGTTTGGTTCACTTTTAAGCCCAAGGATTATATGTATCTCATTAATCTCACCATTTTTTTAACCCTTTATTGTCTGTATCCTTGATTTAGTGCATTCAGAAACTCACTAAATAAACAGATCAGAGTTATCAGATATCAGACGTATTTAGGGCTAATTGCAATTTACAAATTCTTAGAGAGACAAGCCCAACTAGAAAGTAATAGAAAGCTCCTTATCATTGCAGACTAAAGAGTAAAATTCCAAACACTAATCCAAACAAAGCTGAAATTCAAGAATTTTTATCAAAACATGAAATACACTTTATGGATTCTTACACAAAAAAAAACAACTTGTAGAACTATTAAAATTAGTTAAATGTGAAAAAAATTATGTTATCTACAGGCTAGCTGAGAATTATGACCATAAAGTATTAAGATTACCTCCTTATTATTGTGTGCTGAATCCAATAGAATTGTTGTGGTCTCATTTTTGTAGTTTTTCACTATGTTAAATATATATTTTAATATAAAAGTATTACTTTTTTCTTTTACTTTGTGGGATTATTTGATAATTATTTGATAATTTTGATAAATTGTATCATTGTATGAATGTGCTAAGAGTGTTGCGAAAACTCAACGCTAACTGAAGGGTTTAATGTTGTTAATTAAAGTAGCAGTGAATTTAAAAAAAGAGCTATACTCATTCCTAAGGGTCGTCTTTTTTTTCTAAAAGTTGTGTTTTTTACGAGCTTTCTGAATATTTTTTGTTATTTAATTTGAACGAAATTCTACGGAGTTATCGTTAATATTTATAAGATTAAAAATTGGTATTTATTATTGTACTAATTTTTTCCAAAGTTTATTACTATACGTCTTACCAAATAAAATAAGCCTCGGATGCTTGACATCCATTTAGTTAAATTATCTGGACCGACCTTAGAAATTTGCTCATTTTCCAAAAATCCTATAAACAAATTAAATTTCGCAAAAACTATTCGACCGATCTGGCCAACTTTTCAACACAATTTAAACACGATAAGACCCCTAAGCACAGGTACATTTAAACAAATTTTATTAAACAATACAAAAAGTTATTAAGAATATTCAAAAACAGCGATTTTGTTGTTCATTTTCGAACTTTTTTGTTGTTCATCTAACTTTTTTATTCATTAACCGATTTTAATTCAGCATATCTCATTTTGTGTATCTTTTTTCTGAAAAAGTTGTCTGTTGACCCAAATCTCTAAATAGACAAGTTTTTAAGTTATGAGCAAAATAATGAGTTTGAGGTTTTGATTGTATTTGAAAATAATTCCACTAAAAATTGATGAATCCCTAGAGAGTCTTTTTGTACTATCTCATACTACATATTTCGAGATATACATAGTTCTGGAGTACAAAAATCTTATTTTTTACTAACTTGATTGGTCTAGTAGTTGTGGTTTAGTTTATACAGAAAAAAACGCAGTACAAAAACAACAGTCACCTTTTGATGGCTTGTAATAACACCAATTCATAATAAATCGATTAACATTTTTCGCTCCGGAAATCGTTCTCAAACTTTTTTTTGATTCTGGGAAATAATGGTATAACCAATCGAGTTGGTGATAGGTTGTCTTTAAAAAAATTGCCATACTTGGATTCAATCTTATAAGCAACAGCATGTTTATGGTACAACATTCAAAACAACCAGCACTCTATCTAGTTCTGTTAAAAATCAAACCCAACAACACACAAGAAACTTCGAAAAATTGCATCTACGAAAGACCCTCTGAATGCAACAGTTTCTACGTGGGAGAAATTTCAAAAAAGTGTCAGAATAAACGAGCATGAAACATGCATCAGAAACAGAGACTTCGGCAGATCCCAGATATACAAACAAGCTTAGGACAACGAGCACAGGGTACAATGGAAAGATGCATCAATAATTATAGCAGAAACATACATGAAAAAGAGAAAAATCAAAGAAGCAGCTTTCATCCTACTTCATCAAGTAAACTGTGTAGCAAACCCATCAGCAGAATTTAGGAGGCTTTGGTTGACAATACTAAAAGAAGAAGTCAGCAACAAGAACATACTAATAATAGCGGAGTATTAGGAAGCGGAGATATACCCTACAAACTCACACATAATACATATGTAACACACAATACATGTGCAACACACAATACACCATCATTGTAATAATAATAATATAACAATAATAAAGGTCTGTATTTTTCCTTCAAATTCATACAGTACAAAAAATATATAAATTATATATGCATAAAATACAATAAGAAAGATAAATTTCAAGAAATCAGTACCACTGCTTTTCATCTTAAGCAAGAGAAAAAACATATAATAATCTTTTTTGTATGTTCTGTAACAATCAATTAAAAACCATAACCAATAGAAACATTTAGCATTTAAATATTGTCCAAGAACTATCACACAGTTTATACATACTTCATAACAGGTCATCAAATGGTTGAACATGTGTTAATATTAATTTAGATTTAAGAGATTTCTTAAAAGATATAATCGATTTTAATTTTAATTCTTTAGCTAAGCCATTATATACTTTTGATATCTGATATGTAAATGAATTTTTGAATTGTTCTGTACGATGTGACGAAGCTGTACTTGTATTTTTGTATCTTATATTGACATTATGTATGTCAGTTCTGTATATAATTCTTTTAAAAAGATATGCTGGTAGAGAGTTTTTTTGCAAGACCCGAATTTTGAATCACCTGAAGTCTTTCATGTTATATAATCCAATAATTCATGTTACACAACCTACGTTACACAACCACGACTACGATCAACACTACATAAACATATAACACAAAAAACACGCAAAAACGGCAAAAAAAAAACATTCTGAGAGTAAAAACACCATCCTCAAAAATTTCCTCAACCATAAGAAGTATGCTGTTGCCTATAAGATCGATATGTCAATATAGTATGTCAATTTTTAAAAGATTATTCTGGTTTATTTACAACAAAATATTTGATAAAAAAGTGAAAGGGACAGGAAAGCAGTTTCAGAAAAATACTAGAAAGAATGTTTAACGAACTTCCAGCACTGTAGGATCAAAACCTTTTATTATTACAAATGTGCCAAAACAGCTTGTTGTCGTCTGGGGAGAAGGAATTCGCAACTCGACGTTTTTTACTAAAATAACTAAAAATTCATTTGTTTAAGAATATAGAGAAGACAGTTCAAAACCAGTTCGATACAAAACATTAGTTATTATTATAAGATAACATTTATTATTGTAATAAACGGTTAAATATACAAAAAAAAAATAATATCCGCGTTGTTGTTACCGAATACATGTGCGACTCTTAGCGTACCTAGGTATACTCCATTCCACGAATATACGACTAAGTGATTAAATAGTGTAATTTATTTAGTCGAATCTTCAATTAGTATTAAAAACACAGAAAAACTTACTTATTTTCTGATTCTACTTATCAACACTACAAACAAATACACTATACTAAACTCTCTCTTAACGGACACGTCGCTTCACCGGACGGTTTTAAAACAAAAATCAGTCGGTGATATATGAAACCGTATGTAAATTTTGTAATATATCTGTAACGACTCGGTACTTTAACTATCAATAGCCGATATGTTATACCCGTTACTTTTGGAACTTTTAAGAGTACATTCCCTCAAAGCAAACAAATATTTCAAACTAACAAAGTGAAATATAATGATTATTTTTCTGGTTTCTGAACCATCGTTTTGCCAATTTCTTTTCATTTATATTAAAAATAGTGAAATTTACATTTTACCGAAATCCAACCCAAATGGCTGATGAACACATTTAAGCTTCATAGACGTCATTTTATTGATTTGTAGGAGCGTTTACGTAAAATTTTTTGATATTTTCGGATTAATTTTCATAATAAATTTTACGTCTATCTGAACATCTATTAACTGAAATAAGTTTAGTTTAGATGTCATAGTAACAGAAGATACTTTTTATTGGAATACTAATTAGACCAATTTACTTTCATCCTTCTACTTGCACAGTAAAATATTCGTTATAGCAATAATCCAAAACAGTCGTATATTCGTGGAATAAACTATATCAATAAAATTATTTTTTTTATCCAGAAAATGAGGGGAATTTAAAAAATATGGTTTGAATTCTATATTCAAAAGATTGTTGTAAAAAAATTACATTTGGTCCTTGCTCCATTATTCATACCAGCTTTAATCAAATAAATAAAAATAACTAAATACTTACATCAAAATCAATATATATTGGTTCCCGATATGGGTCTCGAGATGCCTGCAGTATTGTCCAAAGGTCGAAAGTCTCGTTCAAAGAAACTTCTAACAGGTCTGCTTCCATAAGTATATCCTGCAAACGCTCTTTAATTTCTGGACTAAGAATTAATCTATAATCATCCGAATCAACTTTTGGCAAGTTTAAGGAGTAGGCATGTTCTCCCATTCTATCAGAATCATATTCTGAAGAATCTCTAGTTGCGTCATCTGAATCTGTTGTACCACTATAACTACCTACCTTTTCATAAGTGTCTTGAGCTTTTGAGGTCAAATCAGGTTTTCTGGACGCTCGTTCCCTTGAATTTCTTTGTCTGGTAGCTTCCTTTTTTGCTGATTCTGTTTCAGCCGCTTCCGTATATTTTTTTATTAATATTTCCAACTCATTTTTAGCTGACTCTACTTCGGGATGTAGCAGAAGCTGCTTGGCTCTTTCCTGCAATTGCAGAGCACGTTCCGAGAGCCACTGCAAAGCTGCTCCTTCACGCATAATAACAGGTAATTCATCTATACGCACTAGAAGATCTTTGAGTTCCATTAATAGAGGACGCTTTGTTCGTACACAAGTTGAACATAAAAATTTACAGTCTTTAAATCCCATATGAAGCGCAGCGGTGTTGAACTTTCCTGTAAATTTCGTACTGGCCACTTTGGGAAGTTGGACGCAATTAGAATGAAACCAATCTTTACACAAATCACATTGCATCATTATACCTGATACTTTTTTTTTACATATGCAGAAGTTGGAATTGTCTTTGGGATCCAAACTTTTAAGCCCATTCGCTGCTTTCACGTTTCTTATGAAATCCAATTCACGGTTTTCAGATTCCTTAAAGCGAGTTGCAGCTTTACATAAAGAAAGTAATTTATTTTTCGGCGGACTTTCTATTTCATTACTTATTTCTCTTGGCATTAGAGCCTCCAATAAGGTAATAGTGGAATTAGTTTTCAAAAAAAGATTGCTCGTTTCTTCTTTCCACCTTTTGGCTCTATCTAGAATAACATTCAATCGGTCTACTTCCACGAGTTGTAAGGCTAGCGATCTTCCTCTCTTTACTAGTCTGTCGACTTCCTCAAAATAAGGAGAATACTCAGACGATTTCATATCTTCAAAAATCTTTAACCAGTCCCTAGCTTTATCTAGGGACTCTTTCAATGGTGCTTCATTTGGAAGGAAGCACTTTATTGTGGCACGTTCTTTTAAGAGCTGATCTACTTGGATTAAAAGATCATTGTCCGTGCATTTAAACAATTGTTCAGCTTTGTCTTCCCAAGTTTCACTCGCTTGTAAGATCTCTTGTAAGTTAATCATCTCTTTGTAACATTCGTGATGTGGATCCAACTTATTTCCAGTATTTAAAAAATGTTTTAGCCATTCTATTGTATATAAATCTTCCTTTTCTTTATAACTAAGTAAGCTCTGATACCACTGACAGTGTTTTATTCGAGAAGCTAACAGTCTTACATTCGGAAGCTCTAAACTTCTTAGCCCACTTCCTAGGGTATGACAAACTTCTAGGTCAGTAATTAAACATTCTGCTAGAGGCAAATTCAAAAGACGATTACTATCTTTCTCGAATATTTGTGCTTCGTGTAACAGATCTCTAACACAGTTCGTCTCATCCACATGACAAAATACGTCCTCAAGCTCGCTGGAAAATTCAACTAGTTGGTTAAAAGTCAAAGTTATTTTAGCATCATTCGAATGTCGTGTGCGCATTTTGTTGGGATCTAGTTGTTCAACACCGTTAGCATACTTCTCAGCAAGTTCTAGAGCAGCGGAAAATTTCTGAATTAGCTCAGACTTGGGAAACTTTTTAACAGTAGCTTCATGAAGAAGTTCTCGGCAAAATGTTAACGTACGCTTTGGTAAGTTTGGGTCTAAAACTTCGTTCACATTAGCAACCCAGGCTTCAAACGATTCTGCTATCACCTTCAAATTTTGCATCATCCGTGGAAGTTCTTCCAAAGTGTACCTATACCTCAAAGTTCTTTTTTCAGGAGAACATTCACAATGATTTTGAAAATGTCTTAGACAGACCAGTTTCTCGGCAGAGCACGAGCATGTCATAGCGGATAAGAAACAAGTCGTTTTGCATATTTCACATTGCCTCTCATCGTCATGAAGTAACTCAAAAGCTTCTCTTTCCGCATTAGTTACGCCCTACAACATTTAATATTGGTCCAGAACTGCTTCTTCTGACATTTTAGTCTTTTCAAATATCTCTTTGGGAATGAACCATGAAATATAAAATTAACTTATATTTATAAACTATTGATTTATTTATTCAAATACATGAAGTCAATTAGTGAATATTAAACAAACACCTATATCACTATATTAATTAAAGGTCAGGTTCCTCCAAACTATTTTAAAAAAATCGACATTTAAAAAAAATAGCTAGAAGATACTATTGGAAATAGTATAGAATTAGTTCCGAAGGCCCACACGATCTTGAAGTAGATTGTGCAGTGGGGAGAACGGTGCATGCCCAGAACTGTAGTTCCGACCATAGTCAATTCGATACAGAATATGAAACCATTTTGTTTTTTCCTTTGCGGGATTGTTTCCAAGAAATTATTACACTCACCAACAAATAGAAGGAGTTTGAACAGCTATTTTCAGAGCCGCCAGTTTGAGAAAAAAAAAGAAAAAAAATTCAAGTAGTGTAATGTACGTACTGTCAGCTGTAAAAAGTTTGTAAGAACCTAGTCTTAAACAATATACAGTAGATGAATTTAATATCAACTTTTTGTTCAATAGGAATTTATAATTGAGCTGCACTAAAATATATTTATATGTTTACTTATTTTATCAGGTAGTACGTGGTAATATTCAACTTAGATGCAATTGTATGACTGTTTTCTCTTCCCATGTTATAAGTCAAGCGGGTTGTATGTCTTTAATGGAAATTGTTTACTTAATTACGACTAATAAATTTAGCAGCAGCACTCAATATGTCAGTCGCTAGCACCTATTTTGAACACAAGAACATACATAAGGTAACCTGGACCTCTCCTGATGGAAGAACAACGAGTCAGATTGATCACATCTTAATAGATTTGAGGCATGAAACAGACGTAATAAACTGCAGAAGTTATAGAGGCGCAAACATAGACTAGTCAAGAAGATCTGCAAACACTACTTGATAGTGTCGTTGAGAGTTGTAGGGAGGCAGGTCTTGATCTGAACATACGGAAAACCAAAATACTCGTAATAAGTAAACAATAGCATATAAAACCGTTTATATATGTAAATAATACCAAACTTGAGCAAGTTGATAAAATCGTTTACCTTGGACAGCAATTAAATTGTAACGCAGAAAGTCACGCAGAAATTAGATCTAGGATAGAGCAGGCTAGAACCGCTTTTAGAAGGATGTCTAAGGTGTTATGTAACAGAGACCTAGAATTGGCATTGAGAATCCGCCTACTTCGCTGATACGTGTTCTCGGTCTTACTATATGGTGTCGAGTCCTGGACTGTGAATAAAATCGATCTAAATCGCCTTGAGAAAGAACCTCATGGTTGAACAGCTTGCAAGATTGGTATGGTGTTGATACAAGCATGCTATTTAGGGTGGGAGTGAATAAAATTAAGATAGCTATGATGGTAACCAACGTTCTGAAAGGACATGGTACATGAAGAAGAAGAAAAATCGGCTCAAATCATTGTCTAGTGATCTCAACATTGAGAGCTAGAATTTCAAATACTAGTTAAGAAAATAAAATGGATACAAAAAATGGAATGTGCAAAAGCTGAGAGATGCGACAATTGCAAAACGATACTCGGACAACATCATCAACAGGCTCAAAGGAATCAAAATGTAAATGAAAAATGCCATACAGATATAGACTCCTATTTGACCAGAATAAAGGAAGACATTGAAGAGGAAATAGGAACAAAAATGAGTACCCGTAGAAATCATTGGTTTGACGATGAATGCACGAATGCAAGAAAAGAGAAAATGAAGATTACAGAAAGATGCTTACCCCACGTACTAGAACAACTGTAGATAATTACCCGACAAAGAGAATAGAACAAAAGAAGATACCCAAAAGAAAAAAACGAAACCACCTACATGAGGAACTTAAATATATAGAAAACCTTAACAGAGAGAAAGAATTCTATATAGAGCATTCTATAAGAAAGTTAACATCAACAGAAAAGAATTCATGGCAACCACAAGACAATGCAGAAGTCAGAATGGCGACATATTAACAACAAGGAAAGATGTATTGAATAGATGGGTGGAACACTTACATCAGACACTTAATATAGAGGAAGAACAAAACCTGGAAGACGAAAGAGATGAGGTAAGGGAACAGACGAGAGGGAAGAGGAACCACCAACGATTCTTGAAGTTAATGATGCAGTTAAAAAACTAGCGAGAAACAAATCACTCGGAACAGATAATCTCCCAGCTGAACTATATAAAGAAGGTGGCCATGATACCATAATGGCATTATAGCAGTTTATAAAAGAAATCTGGACACAGAAATCCTTCCTCAATGGTTGGAATATTGGAGATATCACAAAAAAGGAGATATCTTTGAATGCTCTAACCACAGAGGAATTACGCTTCTAAATGCATTCCCCAGTACTATGTCATCGTATTATATATATATATATATATATATATATATATATATATATATATATATATATATATATATATATATATATATATATATATATATATGTGAATATACAACAAAACAAAGACATCATCGTACTTCCAGCTGACAAGGGCAACGCTACTGTCATAATGAATATTGAAGACTACGACACAAAAATACAGAACATACTAAACGACAGTGCATATCAAAAAATCGCAATAGCATATCTGGAGAAAACAACTAAAGCCAAAATACAAGCGTCAGAGATCAAGAAAGAACAGAAGTTTCAGCTTATTCCACGAGAAAAGTCGTCAAGATGTCCAAAACTTTACGGTTTACCCAAAGTACAAAAGGCAGAGTTACCATTACGACCAATAGTCAGCTCTATCGGGTCACCGCTACAATCACTGGCAAAATTTCTGGCCGACCAGCTACAACCATATGCAGAGAAAGCGGATTCTTACGTCAAAAATGCAAGCCACTTCATCGACCGTATCAAGGACATTGTTATGGAACCTGAACACTTATTAGTGAGCTTTGATGTAGCCAATGTGCCAGTAGAAGAATCATTAGAAATTATACGCAGAAAATATCCAATACCACAGGATACATTAAACCTGACGAGGCACTGCTTAAACAACACCTATTTCATCTACAAAGACCAGAGGTACAAACAAGTTGAAGGGGCACCGATGGGTTCACCACCGTCACCCGTAATAGCCAACCTTTTCATGGAAGATATGGAATCAAAAGCAATAGAAACAGCAGAGCATAAACCCAAACTGTGGCTTAGGTATGTTGATGACACATTTATTATCTGGACGCATGGAGAAGAGAAGCTTAACGAATTCCTACAACACATTAATAATATCCACCCAAAAATACAGTTTACCATGGAACGGGAGAATAACCAACAACTTCCATTCCTAGATGTGTTAGTTATTAAGAAAGAAGACGGAAGCATAGGACACATAGTATACCGAAAACCAACTCATACTGACAGGTACTTACACGCAGACTCACACCATCATCCTGCACAATTAAATTCGGTAATAAAAACCCTAATAACAAGATCTGAGAAACTGGCAGATAAGGAACATAAGGACGAAGAAATGCAAAAAGTCAAAAGAGCTTTAAGAAAAAATGGCTTCTCCTTGTATACGATTGAAAAGGCACAGGAATCCCGAAACAAAATCAAAGATTGAGAAGAAGAAGAAAAACCAGTCGGAAAAACTATCCTGTCCTATATAAAGGGTACGACAGACAAAATCAGCAGAGTGCTACGTAAAAAAACACAGAAACTATTTTTAACACCGACAAAAAAATCGCAACCATATTACCATCGGCAAAAACAAAAGTTGCATTGGAAAATCAAGGTGTATACAGAATCCCGTGTGAGGACTGCGATAAATCGTACATCGGACAGACAAATCGAAGGATACAAGTTAGACGCGAAGAACATCGAAACGCCATCGAAAGAAAACAGAAAACTTCATCTCTAGCACAACATGCCATCAACACAGGACACAAAATCGACTTAAATGGAACAACAATGCTAGCCATAATCGAAAATAAGGCCAAACGTGTAATCAGGAAAGCCATAGAGGTCGAAAAACATCCAAAAAATTTAAATAACAGAGACGATGCCCAAATACTCCCAAATATGTGGAAACCAATTCTGCAGAAAAAAAACTAAAAAGCAGCCTACGACTCTGTGTAAACAAAAGAAATGTTCAAAGCAATGAAAGAGCTATCAGTTGGTAAATTTAACAAAACTAGATCTTGAAAAAGTTGAATGTAGAGTATGAATTCAGGGGGAACTGTCCTTTTAAAACAAATAACGAGCTGCGTCAGGGAAAAACTGTAATTTTAAAACAAATAACGAGCTGCGTCAGGGAGAAACTGGCACAGTCCGTTCAAGTAGACCTGTATACTGTTCAATCTGGCTCTGGGAAAAGTAATACGTATGTCATAAATCACAACCACATATAATAAATCAATGCAAATCCTGACCTATGCTGATGATATCAATATTGTTGGGAGAACGGAAAACGCTGTACGAGAGGCGTATTTAGCATTAAAAGAATCAGCTACAAAAATGGGTTTAATAATAAACACCAACACAACGAAGTATATGAAAATAAGCACGCAACCACCAATACTACGACCACTTGTTCTAGAAAACAACGTCATCGAAGCAGTGAACGAATTTGCATACCTGAAAGCGCTCCTTAACACTGAAAATAATACTACCGCAGAGGAAAACCGCACAATTTGCATAGCCAACAGATGCTATTTTAAGCTCAATCTCCTCCTTAAATCCACAATGATATCGAGAAATACAAAAATAAAACTCTACAAAACAATAATACGCCCAGTCCTAACATATGGTTCAGACATCTGGACAAAAAATAATGAAAACATGTTAGGATGTTTCGAAAGAAAAGTACTAAGGCGAATTTATGGAGCAGTGAATGACAATGGAGTGTGGAGAAGACTCGAACTTTATAGAATATACCAGGAACCTGATATCGTCAAACATATTAAGATAGGACGTCTGAGGTGGATAGGCCATGTAATGCGGATGGAACAAAATGACCCAGCTAGAAAAACGCTCGTTGATAGACCCATTGGTCAGAGAAGAAGAGGAAGACATAAAAAAAATGTTCCTTGAGAACATCGAAGAAGATATCAGAAATATGAGAATGCGTGCTTGGCGGAGAAAGGCGATGGATAGGGACGACTAGAGAGAAATTCTTGAGGCTAGGATCCACGTAGGTTGCAAAGCCAGAATGATGATGGATGATAAATGTCTTAACGGATCACTCCAACAGGTGAATAGTATACATGAATATTTTGATTTGTCCGCATAGTACAAAGGAAAATGAGGTAGAAAAAAATCTAAACATCTCTGGAGGAATATAAAATTCGCGATATTATGTTGGAAAAAAACATTTATATGGCATTCTACCTAAAGCTAGTGTAGTTCAAGTGCATTCAGTGAAAAAACGACTAGCATCGGACAAGGATCACAAGGTTTCAATCAAGTGATCGGACAAGGATCAGAAGTCACAATCACATGATTCTTTTATGCACTTTGCAATTTATAAATTTATTAACAAGTCTAAAGAATAAAAATATTCTAGCTGTACTTTTTAGACGAACCAACATGCAGATCATTGGTGATAGATCTGAAATCGTAAAAAGGTGTTGTCGATACATTCAATAAATATTGTAAGTAGGAAGAAAAATCCATACATATTTTCGCCTTACACATTACACATGTTATAAGTAGAAAGAATATTATAGACAAATTTTCACAATACCCGCTATTGGTTGTGTAAATGTTGTAGCCGAAAAACTAAAAGAATATTATTGATATATTTTCTCCATATTTTGTTATACCAAGACCAAGTTAATAACATAAACAGGATGTCGTCACTTGATGAGTGCAATTCTGGGGGCAATCAGATGACCCCGTTTCTTTAGTCGAACCCATTACGAACCCTTATTGGTCAAAACGATTGGACCAATAGAAAGCTTGACCTCGGAAGTTGCTGACGAGGCACACAGAATTAGCTATAAATTAGGGCGCATCCTAACTGACCGACAACAGTTGTTTGATGTACCAAACGATCAGCGTTGCTGCGTACGGTGGCCGTTTTCCTCCAAGCAAGACCCATCCAACTTATTGCTCGGTTCTCACAGAGGAATATTTCACCACCCTTTAGTCACATATTGCTTCTTCCTAAATAATAAATATGTGTTGACATGTGACGAGATTTCTCAAGACAAACACTGCTATAAAATTCCTGGCTAACAACCAGATAAAGGTACTAGGCTTGGTACTTCTTTAGACCTTAATATAAAAATATTTTAAAGTTAATAAAAAAAAAAAGAAATGCAATGAAATTATCATTACCAAGCGTTGCCTGATAGAACGCTTAATAAATCTTTGGCATAGGCGTCTGTGAACGAATTAAGAAAACTTAAGCAACAAATGAAATGCACAGAAAACATACTGGAATGCTGTCAAGTCGTTATACATACAGAAGGTGACGACATGACAGTACGAAGTATTTTTGACAAAATAAAATGTCTTCATGGAAAAGCACAAGTTTTTGCTAAATGTAAACTTTATAATTCATGAATACGTAAGAAAACAAAAACAAACATACATTTTTCAGTATAATTAAAAAACCCCTTATTGTTATATTTTGGGCACTGGCAATATATATATTCTGACACTGATTCATAAGAAATATTTGATTTATTAAAATAGTATCACTGTTATTTATAAAAAAAAATTATTTTATAACTTATGGTTTATTCCCAAGAGATATTAAGAAACAATAAATAAAGTAAAATAAATATATTAAATTCTTACCGAATCTAGTACAGCTTTTCGTAAATTTTTCTCCATATCCAACATCACCAACATATCATTATAAGTAGCAGCCGCAAGGGTATAATCCAACTGTGAGGAAATTAATGACATTTTGCACACTACTTCATCATGTGAGAAAACACAGTATCTTCTCAAATTAGAATAATGCAAAACACATTCTCGGCCTATACTTAACCAATCTGCCGGAGCAAAATTGACAGCTTCAGCAAAGTTATACCTAAAACAATCATTCTAAGATCTATAACTTAATAAGTATCTTATAGTTACCCTTGGTTAAATCCTGCATGATACGCTCGAGGAAACGTTACTATAAATTCACCAGCATATTGATTCATTTTGAATACTTGAATACCGTTTTTCATTAATATATTTGGGTTCATGATTGTAACTAATTGGTGAAGTAAATCAGGTTGGGCCTGAAATAATTCTGGTGCTACGGACTTCATCGTTTCTTCAAATTCTTCTGCTTGTGTACCAGGAACTCCGTACCAAGTTTTAGCTTCTCCCCAGTGTAAATAATTGATTGAATAGCTCCAATGATCTTCATTATGCCAACAAAACGTAGAGAAACACATCCCAACATACATCCAAGGCACCTGAAGCAATAAATTTACTATTATATTTACAAACTTTAAAAGAACATTAATAATGGCATTCCAAGGTGTTAATAAAAATCATTTGATGAATTAACCAACTGGCCCAAGATCTTAAAAAGATCTGGGTTAAAAACGTTTTTATTTAATTGTCCAATTATTAAAATATTTGTTATAGCAAAATGGTAAGTTTTTTTAACTGAATACAAATGTTTTGTTCATTTTACATTTCAACTTTTACACACATACACACACACATATATATATATATATATATATATATATATATATATATATATATATATGGGATGTTAAAAAAACACTCTTTTGACTTTTTGTCAAGCTTTCGGACTAGTTTGATTTCTTTTTCAAGACACTGTAATGAGACGAATATGTAAATATTTAAAAAATATCACAATTCTTCAGTGTAACTTACCAGTCGTTGAGATTATTTATAAAAGCATTGACACTCAACATTTATAACACACATTAAAATATAAAATCATGGACAAAATACATTCTAAAATTTTTAAAATTTAGGGTAAAGATAGTAAAACGTAGTTAATGGCATATACTTAGCTATATAATATATATATATATATATATATATATATATATATATATATATATATATATATATATTAAATATAGAAGAAACGAAGGTAATCTAGAATGAACTTAAATATTGATTAAAGAAATAATTTATAAGTTATATACTGGAGAATATTATAAAAAGTATTCATATGAGGGCATTGTTTTTATTTTGCAATGTATTTGGTTATTTTAATAATTATGATATAAATATATTTGAGTAAGCAATCTTTATAGGCAACCAAATATACGCTGAAGTAAATTTGGTTGTGGGAACTTTTGTGAATAAGAGACAGTGAAAATAATAATTATGGATTTAAAATAGTGTTACTTATTAATTTAAGATGTTTAATTTATATATAAGTTTATATTCTGATGTGAAAAGCCTAAATTTCTATAAAATTCTCGATAGAAAAGTTAAGAATTATCTAGAACTTTAATATAAGACGTCAATAAAAAGAATTTAACCTATTTTCGTAGTAGCATATTCGCGAACATTCAAATATCTATGAAATAGAAGGATTCGAATATTATTTTCTTTCAAGAATATTTGTGAACATTGAAATGATATAAATACGATGTGATTTAGATTCAACATGGTTAGTATGTCAGTGGTCAGTATTAGAGTATTTATTATACAGGACAGTATGCAGTAGTCAAAAGTCAGTATTAGAGTATTCATTATACAGTACAGTATTCTGTAGTCAGTAATCAGTGATTCAGTAGTAAAGTTTTATAGTATTGGAAAGTATATTAGATGAAGATTAAAAAAAAAATAGTATTAAGAGAGTATTAGTTGGAGATTAAAAATTATAATATTTATATGGTGATTGGAGATTGGAAGAAAAAAAAAAGATTATTAGAAAGAAGAATAAACAAAAAAGCAATAAAGAAGGAAGAATATTTTACCGATTTATTAATGCTATTAAGAAGAAAAATATTTTAAAATTGTGGAAGCTGATAATTAAAACATTGTGGTGTATTTGGCAAACAATTTCACAAAAAGGATAACCGAGGCTGATAACGAAGACATTGAGTGGTGATTAAAATCTTTATTTTGGAAAACCAAACTAAAGTGATTTAGACTTTAGCAATCTTCATACATCACACTTCGATGTAAAATCCTTTCCAAAAGGAACCACATGGTTCCCCAGCAATGGACATCGTTACAATTTATTACCAACCCTCTTATAATTAGAGTTTAAACAAATTGACTTTTCTATTCTGTCCTGTAAATAAGTAATTTTGTTCATCAGTTAATTTTTCATTCAGAGACTGATTTCAAAGGCCATTTTATTTTTTGTTTGTCTTTTCGGAATAGTAGATCTCTATCAAAAATAGTTTCTTTTTTTTTTCTTTTAATTACTTTGGTGTATCTAACAAGAAAGTTAACTTCCATACTTTTTTCAACAAAAATAGTTTTTTTAAATTGTTCACTGAGCTCAATAAAAACAAGGTACTTTTTCTCCTGGCTTCATGTTTCGAGATATTTTGTAACAGCGATAGAATAGAAGTGTTATATTATACTGTTCTTGTTAACACATTGTGACATTTTGTAACTTTTCAATGTTTGTATAAATTTTAAATAAAATTCTGAATGTAAATTTTTTTTTACCATAACTTATTGTATTTATTTAATGTATTTTATAACATCGCAACATATGCATTTGACATTGTTTGACATCTATATACGACTTCACAATTATTAGAACTGAAGAAGTGCAGAAATACTGCAGGAAACGTTTTCTATTAAAAGATTGAAATAGTTTTTTCATTTTTTATTTCTCCTTGACCGATATCTCACTCACATTGTGTATTTAAATTTAGACGGCAGTACTCCTTTCAATATACACCACATGGTGGTGTGTTAAAGGTCGACAATTAGAAACGTAACCCTAATTTTCATCGAAAAACAAACAGAATTGTCCAATGTGGGACAAGACCAATCCAGATGAGATCCAAGAGCGTCCAATGCATCTCTAAAGTCATTGTTTGGTATGGATTGTGGGCTGGCGGCGTCATCTTTCCATATTTCTTTGAGAAAGACGTTGGTCAGGCCATCACCGTCAACGGCAAGTGCTATAAGTAGATGATTATCAACTTTTTCTGGCTTGAATTGGATGATATAGATACTAACGTGCTACACAGTCCATGTCACTTCGAACATTTTGCCCATGCCATTTAAGGGAAAAGTCATCTCACGTGGAGGCGATGTCCACGATTTTTTTTAATTGCTCTATACTTTCTGTTTGGTACAAAATTGGTGAATATCTGATAATGTTTAATGATGACACACACCACACTTCGCTATCTGTTATCCGTTATGTACCATATTCGGACCGATAAAACAAACTGTGGAGGATTTGAAAAGACATGCACACCGAATGTATGTCTCGACTGCCCACACTTCACTCGCACCGGTGGTTGTCTCGCTGTTTATCTTAACATAACTTTAATGCAATTCTGGTTATTCTTGAACCATTAATTCGACAAATTTGTGTGTTTATATACAACTATCTTATCTATTACGCTTTGATTTGTGGTGTACCTAGTGTGGAATGGGGTTGCCAAATGAAAAGGTTATGAGATTTCTGGATTTATACCAGAAACAGCATTGATGACATGGCACAAAAGTATTGGTAAATTGCATTTAAGTAAAAATAAGTTGCAGCGAGCGTCAATACGTCCACGTCCATTTTGGTTCTGCCAAACACACATGACACAAATATTTGGCATGTTTGGGCAACCGGCACAAGTGTGGAGTAACATATTTGTTAATTGCTGACATACAAATACTGCGAAACCGCATAACAAATAACTCCAAACCAAGTGTGGTTCCGCCATTATGTAAACCACTTCTCGTTTCACTACAAGTATCTTATACACGATGTCTATTTTTTACATAAAATATATTCGTATTTTTTCATAATTACACTTTTTATTATTATCTATATAAATAACATTGTAGTAAATCATTGTATATCATTGTAGTAAAAAGTATACATACTTTCATTCCGGATATGTCTGCGTTGATGTGGCCTAGTACAGATCCTTCTAAAACTGGTAAATTATTCAGATTCCAACCGGATTCCGCATACTTTTTTTCCATTTCAGATAAATTTTCAGATTTGTTTGTAGGGAAACCAGACCCATGATCCATAGTATGCAAATCTGCCCCATATTCAACTGTCACATCTTCATCAATTGTTGACACAATTCGCCAAAATTCTCGTTCTACTGTTTCCAGTGGCACTTTCTGTAACAAAAATTATACACGTTAGTTGTTTTTTTGGGTATCTTTTGGGAATAAATCTCAAAGTAGTAATAAACCTGTTATTAAAATTTTTAACTCCTGATATGAAACTGTTTTCAAATACAAATTAAAAAATAATTAAATGATTCTGTTCTGTTGTTTGATGGACTACCTAAGCTCTGACGTCACAATGGGAGGGAATTTTAAAAACATTTCCAAACATTTCTAATTTGTGTGTATTTGTCCATAAGAAGTTGAAAATATTGTTTTTTTAATCGTTTGAAGAATAAATAAGGACTTTTGGTTATGAACATTCATTCTGTGCGATTGGTATTATTTGTTGTTCGTGAATTTGTGAGGTAAGAATATCATAATTTTTCACTGTATTTTAAGTTATTTTTATCGGGATTATTACAAAATTATTCAATGAAGCATTGAATTTATTTACAAAGTTAAAAAATATTTACATTAACCTTTTAATCTTCATTAAGGGCTAGTGATTTTATCCCCTAAAAGACTAAATATATTCGTTTTCTCGTAGTTTAAATAGTTAACAGTAGTTTTGTTGGGATTACTGAAAAATTCAGTAATACTGGATATCTTCAACACAACAAAAACTACTACATTTTTTTAAACACTAATTATGGCAAATTGATAGAAATGTTTCTACATTACAACTTAAACTACGAGAAAATGAATATCTTTAGTATTAAACAGGATAAAATCACTGGCAACAAAAAAGGATAAAACATTAATAATTTAAATATTTTTCAACTTCGTAAACAAATTCAATGATTTATTGTCACATGAACAATTTTGAAATAACTCTGATAAAAACAACAAAATAACTTGAAATACAGTAAAAAATAATAGTTTTAATTATATAAAAAGATAACCTTAAAATATAAACATTCATAGTAAATATCCTAATAGTTTCATATTCTTATCTCACAAATTCACGAACAACAAATAATACCAATGCCACAGAATGAATGTTCATAACCAACAACCCTTACTTATTCTTCAAACAATTAAAAAACTAATATTTCCAACTTTTTATGGGACAAATACACACAAAGTAGAAATGTTTGGAAAGGTTTTTAAAACCTCCGCCCATTGTGTCATTAGACTTAGGTAGTCCATTGTCACGAAAGGCATGAGCCAGACGGAAGACGACGTTGCCGGATTGTGAAAGAAATCTCTAAAAATAAGTGTGTTAAGAATAGTTAAGTTCTAATCTCTAAGATTGGATAAAAGCAAAGTCTTCCGGACCGTTGAGGTGAGAAAGCCTTTAACGCTATACAAGAGACTTAGAAGAAGAAGGAGATCAGTTTATATCGTTGGGTAAAGATCGAGGAAATGATGAAAAAGATAAGTGAACAAGTAGATAGCATTGAGGAGAGAGGTATAAGAACGGAACAAAAAGTAGATAAAGTGCAAAATAATTTCTAGCTAATGAAAGTGGAAATGGCAAAATTAAAAACCGAAAATAGAGCACACGAAAAAAAAAAAATAGAAAAGCTACAAAGAGAAATAAGAAATAAAAATATAGTATATGGTGTCACAGAAAAAGAAGGTGAACAAGACAATAACATAAAAAATAGTATAAAAAATATTATTAAAATTACAATTAAAATCCAAGTTCCACTACTGCCATTTACCTAAGTCAACATTACTCGAGGGAGATACAAGACCAGAGAAGAATACGTAAACAACACTTAAAGGAAGCAAAAGAAAATGGTCAGAAGGCCTAAATTATAATAAGCTAAACATAAAACGCGTCTATGGGAGTTAAAGAGAGTGTAAAGAAAACTGACGAAGAAATTAGCACTGAAAGAGAACAATCAAACATAAGAAAAAGAAAAAACAAGAAGAAAATACAGTAAAACTAGGAACCTTGAACATTTCTAACGGTAAGAGTTACTTTTCATATTTTTCTAATCTTTTATCTCCTTAACAGGTTGACTGCCGATCTATATTTTAAGATCACGGCTGACGCCAAACATTTTATTTGCTATATTTACAATTTGTTTTGCAAAATGTAAAATAAAAAGTAGGTCATAAAAGATTTAAGAGTTGATTTTTTGTACAAAACGTAAGAAAAAAACTCACTCCGATCGGAGTGGTCGGCGTCGCGTATGAAAATCTTTATTAGGTGCCGAATACTCTGATCGGAATGTACATGTATATTGTGCTAAAAAAATTAACAAAAGACATGTTGCATTTCAAAAACAAATTTAATATAAATTTTTATACAGTTCTGTGATATTGATAAACACATTGGAGACAAAAACCAGGTTTTCCAGGATATATTTTACATTCATGGACTGTTTGCTTCCGGATTTTCCTCAATCTGCATGCTTTGCATTCTTTTCTTTTCACCCTTTTAGATTCATTAGTATCCTTTGTCTCTTTTGTCGTTTCTTCTATTTTGCTAATATTATGAGCAATATTCGCTGTATGAGTAGAAACTGTAAGTAAATGTACAATATCGTGCCCGGCTAGCAAACTTCTAATTATGTGTAACCGAAAATCGTACAAACGCAAATTATCAAACTGAGAATACTTATTGAATAAGAAATATGCATTTATACGGCTCATTTGCAGCACATGTACAAATATTTTTTTGTACCAACGGGTGGTTTTACGATAACATGGGTAATAATGAGCCATCAATTGGCTTGTCTTTCTACTCCGGACATAAACGCATTGTAACCAATTATAGACTCGGATTTTTCTGATTCCTGTCCTCGTTTGTTTCTAAAAACCCTTATTTCACTGCCAAACTCTGTACTAATGTATGGCACATTACGTTTGTCACGCCATTTTCCAACATGTGCTCCATATTCTCTTCCCGTTTTAAGTTTGCTGTCATAACCTCTTTTGGATTGTCTTTTCTATCTATTTAGAATTTCAGTACAGTATGTATTTTTCTGTAGTAACTTAGACGCCAACTCAACACTATTATAAAAATTATCTAGATATACGGCATGTCCCTTACAAAGTTTCTCTTCAAGTACATGTAACACTATTTTTTACGTGTGTCCGATTCCACTATATAAATCTGAAGTCTATTTATCTATCTAATCAGCCTTAAACGCCCACTCTTGGGCATAGGCCTCCCCTGTTAATCTCCATTGGTCTCTATTTTGGGCGATCTGCATCCAGTCCTTTCCTGCCGTTCTCTTAAGATCGTCAGTCCATCTCATCTGTGGTCTTCCTCTTTTTCTTTTCTTTTCCCATGGTCTCCAGTGTAGAATTCGCTTATTCCATCTTTCATCTTTTTGCCGGAGAGTGTGACCGGCGAAGTTCCATTTAAGTTTTGCAACCTGTCTTGATACATCGTTCACCTTTGTTTTTTCTCTGATCCATGAGTTTCTTTTCCTGTCTTTAAGACCGATACCCAGCATCTGTCTTTCCATTGCTCTTTGTGTTTTGGATATCCTGTCGATGTTCTCCTTTGTGAAAGTCCATGTTTGTGAGCCATATGTGATAACTGGTAAAATGCACTGGTTGAATACTTTCGTTCGCATATATTGAGGGAACTTTTTATTTTTTAGAATATATGATAGTTTACCAAATGAGGCCCATGCTAGTCTAGTTCTTCTTTTTATTTCTTCTGTTTGATTGTCCCTGTTCAGCTTTATTATCTGTCCTAGGTATATGTATTCTGCCACCTGCTCTAATTTATTCTGTTTGACTACTATTTCTAATTGGTCTTCTTGGTTTGTCATAGTCTTGGTTTTACTATAGTTTATCTCTAGACCTACCTCTGTCGCTTTTCTATCTAGTTCCTCAACCATCTTCTGTAACTCTTCCTTCTTATCTGTTATCAGGACTATATCGTCTGCATAGCCTGATTGAACAATTTTGGCGATATTGTGTCTCCCTGCCTGATTCCTCTTTCGAATTTTATTGGTTCTGTAGCGTGTTCGTTCGTCAATTTTATTGTAGTACTCGCATTTTTGTATATGTTTGTTATTAGGTCCGTGTACCTGTAATCAATTCTGCCGTTCTGTAGTGAGTTTTTGATGGCCCAATGTTCTATGCTGTCAAACGCCTTTCGGAAGTCTATGAATGCCATGTATAATGGGATTTGATACTCGTTCGACTTTTCAATCAGTATTTTTACTGTTAGCAGATGGTCGCTAGTACTAAAACCCTTTCTGAATCCCGCTTGTTTTCTTGTTTGGTATTCGTCATACTTAGTTGTTAGTCTATTTGTAAAGATCTTCGTCGATAGTTTAAATACAACACTTAGTAATGTTATAGGTCTATAGTTTTCTAAGTTCTTTCGGTCACCTTTTTTGAACATTAATAGTGTTTCCGCATCGTTCCAGCTATCAGGTATTTCTTTTGTGGTCAATATTTTGTTCGTGAGGATATGTAGGACGTCTCTAGTTGTTTTCCCTCCTCTCTTCAGCATCTCTGCAGTTATTCCATCTTTTCCAGGTGACTTATGGTTTTTTACTTCTTGAATTGCTTTCTTGATTTATGTTTTACTTATTTCTGTCTTGTTTATGTCTTGTTCTGTATAGGTGCGTATAGTATTCTTGTGTCAACTTTATTATTTGTTTCATATCATTAATGGTTGTTCCTTCGCTGTTTGTCATTTCATTTATCTGAGTTTTACCGAGTCGTGGTTTTAAGCATTTCATATTTTTGTTCTGCTGGATTACTCTTTCAATCTTTGCTTCCTGCGTTTTTCTCTTGGTTTCTTTTATGTTTTTTCTAATTGTTTTATTGATTTCAGTATATTCTACTGTGTTTCTTTTGCCATGTTCAAGTAGGCTTCTTCTTGTCTTCATCAGGTTTTCTACTTCTTCTGAGATATAATTGTCCTTTTTTGTCGTCGATTTTGCAATTCTTTCCCCGGCCTGTAGCAATGTAGTTGTTAGTATTTCATTTATTTCGTTTGTTTCTTTATTTATTAAGTCGGTTGTATTTGGGATGCATTTTTTTTATTTCTTCTTTGTACTTTTCTTCGTTTTGGCTAAGTTTCT